TTTTTTGTGATGTCCTTTGTGTATCATCGCAATTTTCCAAAATTTGGCGAATATCACTTGTAAGATGTGTATTTTTACAAAAATATTCAACAAGGTTTAAACGATTATTTATTATATTTATTGATGTCGTTGGGAAACCTAAAATTTTCTTATTTATTAACCCGTGTAAAATGATAACGTTGAAAGAATAAATATATAAAATACTTACATAACCACCGGTCTAACGTCCTTGCACCAGATGCTGTCTTTGTACGTCGAATGGCGTGCAGTAAACTTCCTTTCTTTGTGTTATCTCTCATTGATATCGTAATTTCCAATGACCTTAAAGTTGTCGCATCAATAATCATTGTATCATTCAAATTAATACTTATTGGTGGTTGAATTTTTAATGTACGTCCAAGCAAATTTTTATTAATATAAGATATTAACGCAGCACTAGCTTTTAATTCATCAGAAGAAAAAATTTGATTAACATCGTAATCAATTTGTGAATCGGACATCCAACTCTGAGGCAGTTTAGAATCAAAAGAATTTGAAGGTTCATAGGAAATAATATATTTTCTACTATCAACATGCTGCCAAATATCGTGACTCTCCATCTTAGGATAACTATCACATAAAACAATTTCGCTAGGACGAATACGCATCAAATCACCAGAAATAGACTCTAAATTTGACTTTGATACCAATTTTACTAATTTTGAGGAGGAATGTAATGATGAGCCAGCAACGAAAAAAAAAAATTTCTAAAAAACGCAAGAAAGTGAAACAAAATTCGGAAAGCTCTACTTTTGAAGAAGATTTTGCTTCAATAGTAAAGAATGATAATTGGGTTATCAAAAAAGAGTAAGAATTACGTGATTATTGTTTTATTGAAACGGTTTAGTTTAATTATTCGATCGAATAAATCAGCTTTTCTCCGAGTTTATTGAAATTGCACGAACAACTTGAAAAAAAATATCGAGATATGATTAAACTTAGAAATCGCTGGAAAGATAAATTAAGTAATAAATATTTTTTATTCAATAATCAATTTATTATTTTTTTGAATAAATATTTATTTTATTGTTTGCATTTTTAGATGGTTCGGTAGAACTTCGATCACATCCAAGCTATGGATTCATAGTTGCTATCAAGAAAGTTCGGAATAATAAGGATGTCGAACGCATACTAAATGCAACCCGTATTCATCATTTTAAGCATAGAAAATGGTTCATTATCCAGGTATTTATGTAAATCAACAAATGCTACGTTTTTACGATTTTGCTTTTAAATTAACTTGTTCATAAGAAATGGACACATCTTGGTGGACAAATCGAAGATATTAAAATAATGATACGAGAAGAAGAAACGAAAGTCTTACAATTAATTCAGAAAAAGGTAATTATATTTATTGGATCTTTCCTACTTTTTTCTTTTTTTATTACCGATACGTTTTTTAATTGTTACTCGACTAAGATTGTAGAAGAATGGTACTTGACTGTACAAAATTCGAGAGTAGTTGATGAATTGGACATAGCGAGTTCACTTGCTGTTTTAGCACGAGAGCAGAATTTTGTGCGGCCTATCCTAAATTATGGGTATGCATTAGCATTATTGGCTTTATAGTTTTTTAGAACCCTATTTAACATAGTTTTATTCTCGTAGCCATTCTCATAAAATTGTGGCCGGCCGTCATCCTGTAGTAGAAGCAGGACTCCAATCAAAAGGACGTCAATTTGTAAAGAATGATTGTTATGTTGGTGATAAAAAGCGATTATTTATACTAACAGGGTAATTTTATATTCAGCATTTAATAAATTCCGAAATAGCGGGCATGGACGTTATTAAACTTAATTCGGGACATAACACCCACCGCTGCTATTTCGAGATTTGCAGTATGCCATTTTTAATCACCAATTATTTTGTTGGTTATAATACAGACCGAATATGGGTGGGAAAAGTACGTACTTGCGTCAAAACGCCATTATTTCGATTTTGGCACAAATAGGATCTTTCGTTCCAGCTGATTATGCTGAAATTGGCATAGTTGATCAAATATTAAGTAGAGTATGTTAGAGTATGTGAAAATTTTAATATGATCATATTTCATAAAGTTGATTAATTTATTTTATTTCTATCCAAGGTTGGTGCTTCGGATAATTTATATCAAGATCAATCAACATTTATGGTTGAAATGATTGAAACTGCACATATTCTAAAGAATGCAACACCAAGATCTTTTGTAAGTATATACGACAACTTTCACTACTTTCGTATATTTCTTGATTTATTAACTTTTTTACAAAGGTTATTATGGATGAAATTGGTCGTGGAACAGCTACTTTAGATGGAATTGCAATTTCATTTGCAACATTATATCAATTACATTATATAAACCGTTGTAGAACTTTGTTCGCCACTCATTTTCATGAACTGCCAAACCTAATGGTAAATTTTGAGAATGCTGCATGTTATTGTACTGATATTCAAGAAGATGAGGTAATTTTTTCCTTTAATATGTAAAGCTTTAAGCGTCAATTAATAAGATTTGTATTTTTTTCTTTGAATTTTCAAGGATGGAGGTTTTTATTATCTTCATCAAATAAAGGAGGGTGTAAATCGAAATTCTGCGGCGTTGAAGGCGGCACAACTTGCAGGTATAGCTTAATCAAATTCTTCTATTTAAACACAAGAATCTTTCTATACTTATGTTCTTATTTATAGGGGTTCCACCGTCAGTATTATTGGTTGCTAAAAATACCTTAAAATATTTACAAGAACATTCAAAACCCATTAATTTGGATCCATATTTTCAATCTGAAATCGAAAAGTCTATTCATAGTGAATTAACAAAGGTTTAATTTTTTGTATTTCTGATTAAAATATACTATGGCCTAGTCTTGTTATAAGAAGTTTTAGAAAATTCATAGTGTTTAATTGAATATTAAAACATTCAATTTTATTAATTTTATTTTAAATTTTTCCCTTCTGGAAAGTAATAACGGATGACTTTTAGTCAAAGTTTATTCTCTTCGATCTGTGGAGCTAGCAAATTTGCCTGTTGACATAACGTTAAAGAAAGATATTTAAAATTCTTTAATCAAAGTTTTTAAATATTAATTTTATTAATACTAGTACTTTCGACGGTTCCTAAAGATTAATTTAGCAATTATTATCATATAATACCTTTCATTCATGATAGTTTAATTAGTTCGACTTATAATGTTCGCTAGTGCCTTTGCGTGAGATGCTGATATTGTCTTCGCGCGATTAAATTATATAATATGCCGCATGATGCGTGAGATAAATTTTTGATAAGAAAGTCTTAGCGAAGCAGCTTTGCAAAGGCATATCAAATCAATACTGATGAAAACTGTAAATAGTACTTTAACATTTGTCGTAACCTCTATTTTACTCACACATAGGAGTTTTTGCTATATCACAGTATATAAAGGTATAATAACAACAAATCTTATCTATCTATATATATAGAATCTTTGGACCAATTATTTTAAAGTTAAGATTTAAGAAAAGCCTAGACTAAAAAAAATTTATGTATGCACTAATAAAAGAAGAGACTTTGAAACCAACACTAAATAAGAAATATATTTTGATATTCAAATTCAAAGAAATTTTATTTGTTTGAAATATATTTAGAAAATATAAAATAAAAGATATAAAAAA